ATGTACAAATATAATATATAAATATATTTAAAATTAATAAGTTTTGTAAATAAACAATTACTTACGCGATAGAGATTAACGCTCAACGACAATACTCCAAATGGTAATAGTACTGAATATGCCCATGTATAATGTACCTTCAACATTTCGATAAACCTTAAATAACGATAAATTTTAAATGCGCGTAGAGAAAATATATAGTCACGCAAGTGACTGTTGCCAATTACGTATGCTAATGATTTATATGATTTATAAATTTTAGACATTTTATAGCCTGATTTATTAAAAAATTAGAAGATTCGAAAAGAAATCGCACTATGGAATAAAGAAACTTCTAATCATATTAATGACAATCACGAACTCGATTGCTTTTTTGTACATATTGAAGCCACTGATTATTCCTTGACATATTATCGAACTTCTCTCGATGGGAGATGCAATACCTCGCATCGTATTTTTGTGTAGTGCTTGTTCTATGCGACAGCTGAAATTGATAATGTAACTGCAACACATGTTTGCACAAACGTCGTTAAAATTAATCGATTTATTTTTTGAAGCCCCGAACTTTACTTTACCTGGCTATTTCAAATAAACCGCACACATGTTGTATGTATGTCATATTAAGTGTTTCGGTAGCTACCACTGTGGTTAGACCAGACAGGACAACAAGACATAAAAACAACAAAATTAGAAAAAAATACTTTTGATGATCTATAAAACATTCTATTAGGACCGGAAATTGTCGTACACGAGATTCATTTTTATTGGATATCATGTCCAAAAGAAAGTTTGATAGAAACTGTATCAGAATGAAGCAAGAAATAGATATATAGATGAACACTGTAATTAAACGATTAAAGTCTGAATTTGTATTAGTAACCGAATTTAGAGCGCGGAAGAATTATTCAAGATATTGCTTACATGTTGTAATTAATGTAATGAATCTTCCGATAGCTGAATATTCTTTTATTATTTTAATTTCTTGCATGTTGTTTAATTCAGCCCAATCACAACGCACTCGATCCATAAAGTATCGCATCTGCATGCGTTCATAAATGATTATTTAATTTTTCCGAAAATATTTCATATGTGGTATTGATAATAATCGCTTTTCCCAGAAGTTTCGCTTTGAGTATTTGCATTTTATATCGAACGCTCTTACCTGTCTTATATTTAAACACAGCATATTATATTTTAATGCATAAGATAACCATGAGATGCTGTACGCGAGAACATGTAGAAGAATGTCTATGTCATACTCAGTCGTGATGAAAGTCGTTAGCTAAAAGTGATATTTTCCATTCAAAATATTTCTATTTTTATGTTAAAGATGATTCTTTTAGCAAATTATCTTTGAAGAAGTTATTTAAAGTATATAAAAATCAGAAATTTTTGTTTAATTATTACGAAATTTATTATAAATCCTTATTATAATTTAATTTAAAAAAATATTTTTTGATGTGAGAGCTAATGAGAGCAATTATAATTAAGTTTAGACAAAATATTATTATATTATAATTATAAAAAAATATTATCAAAATTTATTATATCATTTTTTGTTATAATGTAATATTTATGACAAAAGAGAAATATTTTTCTTTTAATGAGAATAATCATATATTAATATTTTTTGATTTTACTATAATAATAAAATTTAATTTTGTGTAAACTTTATTTTATTAATTTTTATCTTAAATATAGTATACGAAGGATTAATGAGAGACGTGAAATAAAAAAAATATCGTCATACCTGAAATACTACACCTGATACAAGCATTATGGTCGTAAATGTTATTACGATCTGTCTGAAACTAGACTTTTGATAGGGCCACAAACCAATGCATAGTAATAAAATTCGATTAATTGAATAGTACCTATTTATTATCGGACAATTTTGGCATTCCGGTGTTATAACGCGTTTGTGTCGAATTTCTTTCCACGAGTCACCACTTAGCTTTGGCATGTTTTATTGTAGATTATAATTCACTATTTCTCCATATTCAAAATATTGTTCTGGTCTCTTGGAAAATTACGATAGCTTACTATAGTTACGCAAATTATAGCTTTGGCATATATTTCGCTAGTGTCTGTATCTATAACCCCTAGGCGAACGTTATTACTTACGTGATGAACCAATTATTTTTTTCTCCGCGTATTTCTCTTTTACGTTCGATCGGCGCAAGCGCAATTGCAATTTCGCTTTCACGCGTTTCCGACGTCTCTTCATTTCTATTCGACACTCGGAACGTTACGGTACTTCCCTTGCGGTGCGCGTACTGAAATAATGTGTGCTAACATCGTATGAGATTAACTATAAAGATTATTATTGTAATCGTCTATTGTAATCGTCCGAAACTGTGATTTGTGTACCATGCTTGGCAAACATCATAAAGATTACGTTGTGAATTACGTTGTGATGACTTATTTGGATCAAGAACTCTAAATTAGTAAGCTGTCATAATTACTAATGCAATATATTAGTTTGTAACGTAATTACCCTTAAAACTCACAATGCCGTAAAAAATCTCCATTTATATGGCATTTCTATTAATACATTTTCATAAAGTTAATTTATTAAGATTAAATAGCCGGAACGTGAATAAACTTTCTAAAAATATTGGACATAATGATAATATTATCGTTCTTACTCCTAGAATATATATTAATTTTACAAATCTGATAAAAAAACTGTACAATGTAAACAGGAAGCGGAATTATGTTTTCCTTTTTTTTTTAGAGATACAGTTCGATTGTTTTGCGTATCCTCTTGGATTAATGTTGTATCAATCCTTATTATATTTTTGCATTACGCATTACGGTTCCATAAAACATATACTGGTTAATTCCGTAAAATTGTTCTTTATACAATAAATAATAATAAATATAATTTTACAAATTACTTTTGTACTATTACATTAACATTTGCAATAGGTATACCAGAATTACTGTATTGTGACACAACCTATGTGTTCGACTAATGATAAATTTTATTTTACGAGCTCACTGGATAGAATAAATTACCATAAAATATGAAAGTGACATGCTTGTAAGCTAAAATGAAAAGCGAAAATTGTATTTTTGACAATTTATAAAGCAATAATGTTCGATGACAGATTAGTATTAGTGTCGAGAATTTACCGTGGCGAATCCTTCTAACGACGGAATGAATAAGCCGCCGATCATAATTGTGCAATGTCGCATACTTCTTTGCATTACAAGCAGCAATAACTTTTGCACTTTCACCGGAGCCGTGTACCATTGTACGTTGTATCTATATAATATACCATTAGAAGATCATAATTGAAAGTTTTAATATACATATTGGAACAAATTTATTCTTCTCTATATATTATAATATACATATATATTAGGGTGGTCCTTATTTACTCGACAAAAAATTTTTTTCTTTAATTTTTTCGATTGATTTTTAAAGTGTATTTTCCACAAAAATCGGACTAGAGGACTTTTCTTTTTTATTTAACATGTGTGCCTTGCTTTTCTGCACCGTTTGAGACCTTATTCGTCTTATTTAAACAATTAGGCGAATTATTAATAACTAAAAATAAAAGTAATAAATAGTTATTGCATTTATTGTATCCTGACATAGTTGGGAGCCCCGAGGACCCCTATTCTAGGAGGGGACCTGAGAAGACTTAAGGGGGGAAACCACTGTAACGGCCGGAAAAAGAATGCTATTTTCGTAAATTTTTTTTCGCGAGAAATAATAAATTTAATGAAATTGGTGCAAAAAAATTGTGGGTGCGCGGGCGCTCCGTCAGAACAGGATGTCTAAAATAAATTTGGTGTCATTTTAAACTATATAATATGTAGTTTCAGTTAAGCGTACGGATTTTTTGAAATATTAATCTTTAACAAAATGGCGCAGTTCTAAAAAAAAGTTCGAAATTCAACCAAAAATTTTTTTACTTTTTTAATTGTTTTTCAAAAACTAATTGTCAAATAAAAAAATCGTACGCTTAACTGAAGACAATTTTGTTATAAACATTCTGTCCAAATTTCAAGTCATTCGGATAAAAATTGGCTGAGATACGCGAGCGCCCAGCTACAAAATTGTAGTTTCGAGAAAAACGCGTTTAAACTTTGACAACTGATTATTTTATATAGAGTAATAGAGTAATCTTTTAATTTTTGTCCTTCTTTTGGCTCTAAACATACTACTATAACTTTTGTAGCCACACATAATTTTTTCCAGCTGATCAAGCAATAAATGCAATAACTATTTATTTTTATTTTTTAGTTATTAACAATTTACCTAATTGTTTAAATGAGACGTATAAGGTCTCAAACGATGCAGAAAAGCAAGACACACATGTCAAAAAAAGAAAAGTGCTTTAGGCCGATTTTTGTGGAAAATACGCTTTAAAAACCAATGTTGATGGAATAAACAGTTTAATACAAAAGAACTCAAATGTTTAAAAATCCGAGGGCACGGGTTTCCGTTATCTGATCGAGCTGAACTTTGGCAGGGATTATTTTTTTGCGAATTGGAAACATTCTGGGGGGTGCCGCAGAATAAAAGTCGAAAAATAAGGACCATCCTAATATATATTTTATATATACATATATGCATATACAGAATGTAACATAAATGTGGGTCGCTTCTTTAGGGGCGTATGATTGTCAAGTGAAAACAATGCATTTTTGGACATACGTTTATGTGAACTTTTTTACTCATTTTGATGAGTAGACTCACCCTTCAAGTAGCGGCCCACATTTATGTTACACTCTATATATATATATATATATATATATATATATAGAGTATATGACTAATTAACTCTCACGTTTTATGAAAGACATTACTGCTATGATCGATCACCTCCTGTCCCAAATAGTTGCAGAAGAACAGATACCAAAAATGACCAAGAACAAACAGAAGAGTTGTTATTGTATCCTGATATTCCTCGGTCGTTATTAGCCGAGAAAGCTGCGATCATACAAACGATCAGTTTGCTTTGTGAGGAATGCAAATCTTGTATCTACGGATACAATGGTATACGCAGGTGTGTCACGTTGACAACATCTAAGATATGTTAATTACTCAGCGTTATTAGTATCGATAAGAATATATCAGTAATTACTCACGCGATAGAGATTGATGCTCAGCGATAGCACGGTTATTGGTAGTGTGATAAAATACACCCACTTAAAACTTGTTATCGACATTTCGATAAACCTTGAATAATGACGTGTATAGGATGAATATGTATGTATATGTATAATAATTACTACCTGACAAAAGTCAGGTAATAGTTATTATACATGTATATCAGGCAAAAGTTATTAGAGAAATGAATAATTTAGAAAAAAATCACGGTAGAGAATGAAAAAAATTTTCTTGGTTAAATTAATGAGAATTACGGACTCAATTGCTTTCCTGTGTACATCGACTGCACTGACTATTCCCTGACATATTATTGTGTTTTTTTCAGCAACAGATATTATATCTCTCGCCATACCTTTGTGCAATGCTTGTTCTACGCGACAACTGAAACGTAATGAAATTTGTAAAACGTCATCAAAATTTGTTGATCCGCTTCTTGAAACACTGTATTTACTTGGCTACTTCGAATAATCCACATGCGTGTTGCGTGTATGACATGAAAAGCGTCTCGATGGCTATTACCGTGGTTAGGCCACATATGACAACAAGGAACACATATGACATGAGCAGAGTGAAATACTTTTCTTGATCCACAAAACACTCGGCCTCGGCCGGAAGCCGCCGCGGACGAGATTCGTTTGCGGCCGTTATTATGTAGTCCAGAATAAAATTTGCTGCTAGCTGTACCACGACAAAGCCAAATATAGACATATAGATGAACACTGCAATAGTTAAATCAATTTTAAATCATTACCGAAACTTGGGAAGCACGTTGGAACATTAGATGTTGCTTACGTGTCGTAACTAACGTGATAAATCTTCCGATAGCTGAATACCGTTTTATTATTTCAAGTTCACGCGCATTGTTTAATTCACTCCAGTCGAAACGCACTCGTTCTACAAGACCTCGCATCTAAATTTGTAAGATAATGATTATCCGTCATTTTTTTTCTCAAAAATGTCCTAAATAGGATTAATATCAAATATAGTTACCTTTTTCATATTTAAGCAAAAAAGATTATACTTCAACATATAGCTCAGCCATGGAATACTATACGCGAGGATCTTTAAAAGAAGTTCCATGCTGTATTCTTTCGTGACGAAGGTTGTTAGCTGAAAGCGATACATTTTTCCGGCTATTTTGACTTTTAATTAATTTTGTTAATATTAATGACCTTCTGGCTAGAATAATTTTGTAGTGGCTTCGAAGAAGTTGTTATACAATATACATACATATACAAATATATAATAATTCTAATTAGCATTTAACATCGCTGAATTCATCAGAATATTCAGAATTTTATGCTATTGCAATTTCCTCGCAGAGAATTTATTAAAATTAATTATGCGCTAAATTTTCGCGCACTCTATTTTGTTCATTCTTATATCAAATAGCAATATTAAATAACATCGAAGATAATTAGTTACAGATATAAGATTTAAAGAGATTCATACCTGAAATACTACGCTGGATAAAAGTACTAAGGTTATAAATGTTATTAGAATACACCTGAAACCAAATCCTTGATATGGCCATAGGCCGACACATAGTAACAGGTTCCGATTAATAGTGTAATAACTATCCGCCATACAACTCATTTCGGTACGAGTGCTGCGATGCATTTGTGTTCAAATTTTTTCTAGAAATATCTTTTTTTCATCTCCACTTGCTATGTTCTTTTATAATTTCATATTTTCTAATTTTCCACGTTTTTCCACTTGCAAATATTACACTAATGTCGAAATTACAAAATTCTACTAATATCGTAAAATTACAAAATTGTAACTTAAATTATAGTTTTAGCTTACATCTGAATAAAGCGTCTAAATATTGGAAACAAATATGTATTACTTCCAAAGTTATTTTCTCTCTATTATTGTCGCCCCCTTATATTCGATCGACGCAAGCGCAATTGCAACGTCGTTTTCGCGCATTTTCATGCTTCTTCAGTTCGATTCGAGACGTTAGACGGTAACGGTGCTCGGGTGCTCTCCTTCGACATGTATTCAACAATATTAATATTGTTGGAAAAAGATTGCTATACGATTATAATCATCAGAACGTTGTAAGGTGTGTATGGGAATATTGGATATCATTATACGACAAATATTTTGAAGATTGATTTTACTTTAATATATTTAAGGTGCGCGAAACTATGAATTAATATATCATTATACTGTCAAAACTTAGACATATTTCTCATGTGTCTGAATTGATAGGTAATATTCTAATGTTTCATTTCATAGAACATTGATTTATAATGTTATCTTCTTTTATACATCATGCTCTAAAAAGGGATACAATCCGAAAGCAATTTTCTTCCCTTTTGTTCTTTTTTCTTCGAAAACATCAGAAAGCTTTTTTTCGCATTTTTCGTACTATATTTTTAATGATGTTAGTTGATGAAATTAATGGCAACGTGGAAACTGCATTCGCCCGGTGAAATAAAAAAGGAGCGTATAAATGTTGGTACATTTGCTGTGAATGTAAAAACTAGTGCTTGTAGAAATTTTCTACTACCATACTCTATTTTCAGTATCTCCTTTTTTCGTTTTCTATATACCTATATGTGTGTGTATTCATGTTCAGTATGTTCTCTTAACATACGCGCAGATGAGTCAAGATTCACAATTGTTTTTCAGCTTGAATAACCATCATAGATTCATATATCACGTCTATGTAGAAAATGGAAATAGGAGTGGTATTTTATGATTAAAACTTGACGATTAAATTGATATTTATATATTATATTTTGACAAGCAATACATTTAACACTACTTTGTACTACAGGGAATCTTAAGACACTGGCTCGATCATTTCTGTACGTGAATTATAATTTTTCGTTGCATGTGATCTCGTATGTATTTCGATGATCGACCAGCACAAAGTGATTTTTAATGACATTTTCGTCTGTGGTATTATGCATATCACCCATGAGAACGTTAATTTTGTAGTGACACAAAAATCGTGAAATAAGATAAAGAGCAGCTCAAGAGCTAAAATATAAATCATATTATAATTGATCCTATTTATAAAAATGTTATATTATTCCTTTCAGTATAAATGTGTAAAGACGTCTAGCAAATGATGCTATTTCAGTGCCCAATTTAAAAAATAAACAAAAGTATTCAGTGTTGAAAGGGTTAATATAATGTCACAAATAATATGTTTTTCACATCTTTTATTTTTCCTCATTATAACTTAATAAAAATAAAATTTGATGTTATATCTCGTAGTAATATACATTTTTTCTCTTAATTAAAGCTTTTAATAACAAAGTGCTAGTAAAATTAAGGCTATTATCATTGATATCTAATAAATTCCAATGTTTGCATAGCTATCAGTGTATTAAAAAGATATTTTACCATGCTCCTATAAAAGTCAACAGTTTTGCGGTGTAGTAATATTCCTGTAAAATTTTCAACTCCTCTTTGCACTTTATTAAATTCCAATGATAATTTATTAGCTTTAGTAGCTTTTTTATCTATCGTTAATAATAATAAGCATTGCTTTTTTTATACGTTATTATATATATGTATATGTGATTTTAATATATTTTATTTCTTAAACAAAATAAGAGGACCAAATATGGGGATATTTGAATAGTTATATATGTATAAAATAAAAGTTTTAAATATCTTTCACGTAGAATATCTTAAACTTAAATGTTTTGATGTTTTGAAAGTCAGTGTCATTACAAAAATGTACAATATTTACAATATTGTACATTTTTGAGACAAATATAACTATATAGGTAAAGAATTTACATCTTCAGATTTCGTATAAAATGTAACATATTTTAAAGCGATATACTTTGAATATGTCTATACATTGTATCGTTATACGGCCATAGACCAAGCATGGTTAACAAGATTTGTTGGATTCTGTAGTAACGTTCGCCGATAGATTCCATCTTTTTGCGAAGGCTGAAGCACGATTGCGCCGAAAGACGCCGAGAAAAACAACAATTCTATTTATACATTCTATACTTATATTTTATTAAAGATTCTCGCTTTCCGCTATTTTTATCGCATTTCTGTTTCAATGATTGTGCGAAATTATGGTAATAAATAATTAATAATAGAAGCCAAACAGCAGTAGAAAAGTTCATCTGTCGTACCAGTAAAAGAAAAGGGTCAGTAATGAGCCGATCAATACATATTACTTTCCAGACGATATTTCTGTAATTGTCGTAAAGTACCAATGGTAAGATAAAGATTGTTCTGCAAAGTGTGCAAATAAGATGATAATATTGAAAGGGAAAAATTTTCTTTCTCCCGAAGTTGGCGCAGGCGCTTTCATCATTTTGCGCTAACGATCGTTCTTCGGTTTCGTTCAAGTGTTCGTAATAGACGTTATTTTAATCTTGTTGAACAGTTGAATGAATAGTTACCTTCTGCATAACAAACGAAGATAATTCTCCATTCGATTAAAGTTGAGTAGAAGGGAGACTGAGCACCGGAAGCAAGGTTATTATCCTCACGGAACGTGATTTCAATAGAATTTTTTCGAAGGAACGCATTGCCATTCAAATTCGTGTCTATTTTTAGCTTGCTTATTTCTTTTATAGATTACAAATTGTTAAAGAAAATTGTTCACTTGATGGTATTTGTACGTATATACATACATATTTTTATTTATATAAAAAGTAGTAAATTTAAACATTTTTATTTTATTTTCTTTATTATAAAAATAAGCAAGCTATTTTAATCAAACATGTTTGTACATTGGGGAAAATGTGACATAATGATTAACGTTGTAGTATTTGCTAAACAGATTGAAATTAATAACAAAGGAGTCAAGATTATACTTTTTAAACACAGATCTTTAATCGTATTGCTTATTAAAAATATTTTGTTAAAATTAATATGATTTTGTGAGATTTATATAACATGTGATATCATGTGTTTCCGTATTATCATAAAATTATAAAATTGACGGATGTATTTTTTATAACTGAAGTTGTATAGAACATAAGAGCGTCAGAAAAGAAAGCAATAAGCTCATCATCTAAAACAAAAAATATTATTTATATGTATAGCTGGTTAATACAATAATTACTTTTATTAATGCTGTGACTTCTCACCGTGGCCAAACCTTCAAAGGAGGGACTGAACAAACCAGCAGCATCAATTTTATAACTTTTTATAGTTTTTCTAATCAAAAAAAGTACAAACTTTTGTATCTTTAACGGAGCATTGTACCATTTTGTATTGCATCTATATTGCGAAAAAAGAAAAACTAATTCTTTTCTGAACATATCTTTATATAGAACCTATATATGAGTCTTCAAATTGTAAAATTTTTGATTATACAATATATCATATATTGTATTTAAAAAAATCTATTAATTGCACTACATACATTGTTCGATGGACATGACTGTCGCGATTTATAAATTCTTGCCCAACAAAATTGGCTACAATTAAAAATAGAAAAAGGAAAACTACATAACAGAGTAATTTAACAATTTCCATCTTTTCCTGTTGCATCGTCATTATTCGAAATAGCTGCAAATAAAATCGATGGTTGCAATAATTACAAATAATCTTATAAAGCTAGCGACAGTGATCGTATACAACCAGTATTTCTACACACACGAAAGAGACTAACAGTTGCCGAACATATAGCCGTTACAGCCATAAATAAGTACGACAGTCCAAACTTTGCTTTTAATAGGTCCGAAAATCTAACAGAATAAAGATTTTCCGTTATTACTCTCCATCATTAAATTGCAAAAAGTTACAATGTTCTTTGAGCTCTTGCCAATACTCTATTTGAATAAGAGACATTTTTGGAATTAGTGATATACTAACTCGATCGCTCTCCTATGGATGTCCACTGCAGCGGTTATTTTATCATGGAATATAATATAGCTTTTAGCTATAGGTATTTGTGAAACATCTATGCTTAACATACGTTCCATACGGTAACTATAAAATTCTGTATGTCATGAAAGAAGTACATAATACAGCACGCTATTAATTTAAATTTTTACCATAAAACTATATCATATAGTTGTTCTATTATACATTATTTTAATAAATATGAAACACATATATATTCAGCAATAATAAATATGAATCAATTAGGTATATCCCATATTGTTTACTTCTTATTACTTTCCTATTATTTCCATCAGCTTTTCTTCTTGCCCTATTTCCTCACTATTTTATATTTGCGAAATCACATGTAATTATGCATAAAACGAAAGAAAAAGCAACGCAAGAGTAAAAGCAGTAAATAATAAGGAGAAAAGAATGAACGGTGCCAGGATTCGACTGTATCTAAAATCTAATAAGTGCTATGAATAAAAAATCTACAGATTGATATCAATCGAATAAGAAAATCTGATTTATTACCTGAAAATATTTTCTTAAAAAGAAAATACAACCATTAAATTTTTTTAGCTTAAGAGATAAAAAATTAACAAAAGCAATGAAAAAAGTTTTTAATTAGAATTGTTTAATAAGAATCTCACTTACGATGTACCTAGCAATTTTAAACATTCCGAAAGCATGTAATGAGCTTACTAATAAGAACGTTTCAGCAGCTACTCCAGTAGTTCCACTAAGGAGTAGCCCAATAGCCTCATGTATCATTATGATATGAAAATAATTTTGCTGATTGGCAAAATATTTTGTCTGATGGAGAAGCATACGTGGACGAGACTCATTTAAAGGCATTACGATATCAAGTAAATCCGGAATATATTGTACTAAAGTGAAACTGACAATTCCAAAATAGACGCATACTAAAATTTTTAAAATTTTATTAATTTATTCAGTCACACAGAATAATCGTTGCCTCATATGTGTAAACGTTCAAATTATTATTTGTCAAGTTTAACGAAATTATAAAAAAATATATTTTTAAATAATAGATATATAGATCGTATTTTTTACACAAGCATAATTCATATTTTCATGGTTGTTGGTAATATTTATATATATGTATACACTGAAAAAGAACTTTGAAAAGGATGCGTAGTTGTCGCATTAATTTTAAAACCCAACAAGCACGACTTGATGAAATCAACAATTTTTTAGTATTTCGGTTTCTAAAAGATATATTTCGGTTTCTAAAAGATAAAGCTAGCTCATTTATATCAAAATTTATAAAGAATATATATATACAAAATACATAAAGAAAAACTGGTCAATTAATTGTATTAATTTTAAGTTACGTTCTACACTTCAGAAATACATAATTATCTCAGGTAATTCAAATTTGATTTAAATAAAGTAATTAAACATTTTTTCGAAAAATTTTACTTACTTGCTATAGCTATTGTAGATTGTTTTCCAATTTTAGCATATTTATGTAATATATCAATCTCTCGATCGTCTACCAGAATACTCCAATGACTTCGGACACAGTTCCGTAATTGTTTTATCTATTAATACATGCGATGTTATTGTACATAGCGATTAACTTCAGATTAAATTATTGTTAAACTTACATTTTCCATAACAGAAGAGAAAGCAACATATTTGATAAACCATATTAAAATGAGGAAATTAATAGCTAACACTTCCAGAAGAAGATCAAGGCTGTATTCCGGAACGAATAATTTCATAAACTGTAAGCAAACACTTACTGATGTGCGAATAATATTTTATAATTATAGAATTACTAGCAGGTTCTGCATATCTGAAAGAAAAGTTATTTCAAAAAGAACTCATGCATACACAAAATATGCGTTTAAAATATATTCTAAATACTTGTATTATATATGTTACGTATTTATTTTGTAGATTATCCAAATTATATTTCATTATATTATTATTGACAATGATCTCAAATATTGCAATTTCTTGTACATCAAAATGAAAAAGATAGAAAAATATTTAATCTTTAGAATAAAGCCTATGATTATGCGTACTCGATCATGAAAATTGATAAGGAAACGTTTGTCACACTAAAATAGCTGTGTTATGATGAGATTCAAGTGATTTTTAAATTATGTTAAATCTTTCTTAGAAGTATATCCATTATACAAAAGAGATTGAACTATTTACTATAAGTATATAAATACACGTAACAGTATTTAGAGTATATTTTGAATCGCCGTTTGTGTGTGAGTGTAAAATGCGTGTATAATAATTTTTTTAAAATAATTTTTTTGTCAAATATGCAGATGACATTCTTATCTAACAAGCTATTTTTGCACACGGAAAAATTCCAAACACGATTCATAATATTATATTTATATCTAAAAATCTTCTAAATCGAATATTAGATTTCTTAATTAACTAGATAACAGAGATAAACGTAATATATGCTGGACATGGATCTAATTTGAATGTAATAATATCTATTAGTAGTATAAAGAATTATGAAAATTAAGTGACTATGTTAAAAAGTACGACGGAATAGATCTAAAAACTCAGGTAATTATTTGTTCATTATCTGCGTATAGTATGAAATGTATATGTACACGGAGAAAATTTTATATTAAATTTTACTATGCTGTCGCACCAACTGCGGAACATCAAGACGGACAAGTTTAAATGCTATAGTCTTATAGTCTTATAGTAAAATTACTATGTCCATAGCATTTAGTGCTATAATTATAGCATTGAATGCTATGATCGTAGCATTAAATGCTATGAACATAGTAATTTTACTATAAGACTATAGCATTTAAACTTGTGCGTCTTGATGGTCCGCAGCTAGTGCGACACCATAGTAATATTTACTATAAAATTTTCTCCGTGTATGGAATATTTTGACAGTATCCCAAATTCTATGCGTATACTTTTGTTGCATTTTTAAAATTATTCTTTAACACGATGTATTAATTAGATATGTTTTGCAAGTAGAATTTTCCTATATTAATACTAAAAAATTAATTAAAATAATTATAGAAAACAAAAATAAATATAAAAAAGTATGAATATCCATATAGGGTTTTACAATTATTATAAGCACAAATCAAAATTATATTATTTTATTTTAGAATGTCAAATTTAAATATTTACATTAAAAGAACTATTATATCAAGTAGATATGGATAATGTAAGGGTTAAATATATATAACAAATGAAATTAAGTATATGTACAAGGTATGAAAAAAAGCAATGCGAATACCTGAACTGCAAAAAACGATATGTATATCAGTAGTGATAGTATGACTTGAATTTGTTTGATGCTACAATTATCGTATGGCCAGAGTCCAATCGATGACAATAGAATGTAGTTGAGTCTATAGTACTTCTCCTCAGGGAACTCCATTTCAGGCAATAGTCCAAGCGTTACTGAGGACTCATATAGGCTATAGAAGTTTCTTTTCCCTTACCCCGTCACCGTTCACTTAATTTCTTTCAGTATTATATTATCAATTTTTTAACGTTACGGCACTTTGTTGTCCGTACAGACACTAAAGGTAAATGCTATAATTGAGATTTGGATATAATATGCTTATATTCGCATAAAAAGAATATAAGATCCAAAATATAATTCAAAATAAAATAAAGTGCTACGTTTCTCGCGAAAGAGTAACTATATTTTTGTTCTATTATACTCTATTACAGTAATAACTAAATTACCGCAATTTACAGTTATGTGATGTACATATTAACGTTCCTTATTTTGCTTATGTCCCATAAATATGCACGCGAAGTAGGGAACAGGATATTTTATACCAATAGAACGTAAAACAGAATATTTCATACTAATAATACTATATAATAGAACATCGAGCATTACCTATATATATAGGTATATAATGCATTACCTATATATTTCGTACTTTAAAATTTTTCGGGCACGGAATTATTAAGAATACTTAAAATATAACAAGTGATAACTGCAATTCTTCAAATAAAAGTAAAATAAAAGTAAGTTGTAGACTATATTATATTATCAGCAGCAAATATTTTCGAGCATGTGCTGAGCCGAGAAATATTGTAATTAAACTGATCTATTATCTATTTTAGAGGAGAAAAGATAATAAAGTAATATTATAACAAAGAAGCTATTATAAAATGGCAAAATAATCTCATTATATCGGAGTCAAGAGTCAAAATATATTTTTATTTCTTAAATAAATAACGCTCATTAAAATTGCTAGTAATACTGTATAAATACGAAATAAAGAATAACAGTGAATATCCTTCATAATTTTGAATGCAATTGCAACTTTAAATTTTTAAAATGATTACATCTACGCGAAGAAAATGTGGGATAGGTACTTGAATAATAAGAATAAAGAAAAGAAAAAGAAGGAAAAACTTATTTCAATATAACACTTGTTCAATTATGGAAAAATACAAATTAAATCTGTAGGTAAAGATACACTGTACGTTTCAATTATCTCACATTTTTATCTCTTCAGCGATATTATGTTATAGAGCAGCATAGTGGAAAACAATACTTTTTTTTCCATGAGAGAGTACGTGATATCGTTGATTATGAGATTCAGTAACTGAGCTCAGCTTATAGAAAGCTCGAATCTCATAGTAAGTACGTAATAATGTGAATAAATATTATATGATTATACGCGCAAGAATACATTTATAGCTAGACAATACATATATTAGACAGATGTAATAAGAAAACTAAGATATACAAAATATAACAAACATATAACCGTTAAGATATCTTTGCAACAATGTTTGTTA